ATTCCTTCTTGTTGTTTGTTTGTTTAGCCAAGTGGTGTCTGACCCATTATGACCCCATGGACAACATTCTTCCAGGCTCTCCTGTCCTCCACCATCCCTCAAAGTCCATCCAAGCCCACGCCCACTGCCCCAGTGACTCCATCCAGCCACCTCATCCTCTGCCATCCACTTCTTTTTCCATCGATTATTCCCAGCATCAGGGTCTTCTCCAGTGAGTCCTTCCTCCCCATTAGGTGGCCAAAGTATTTGAGTTTTATCTTCAGTATCCGACCTTCTAAAGAACAGTCAGGGTTGATTTCTGTTAAGATTGACTAATTTGATCTCTTTGCAGTCCAAGGGACTCTCAGGAGTCTTCTCCAACACTGCAATTCAAAGAAGTTAATTCTTTGGTGCTCAGTTTTCCTTATGGTTCAACTCTCACAGCCATGCATTACAGCTGGGAAAACCACAGCTTTGACTATATGAACTTTTCTCAGCAGGGTGATGTCTCTACTTTTAAGTATACTGTCTAGATTCTCCATAGCTTTCCTCCCAAGGAGCAAGTGTCTTTTAATTTCTTGGCTGCAGTCCCCATCTGCGTCACTTAGGCAAGACTTATTCTCTTAATTCTCCCTAAGCCCTTCTAGACTTGCAAGGGATCTTAGAGAGCATCATTAAGGTTTTAGATACCCAGAAAACATATTAGTAATTTTGGGTGTGAATTTTGCATCATGATTGGAAGAATCAAATATTTGGGTTCCTTTCTCCCAATAGAAATATTTTTCTAAAAGGTGTGAAATACATTTCATGCCTCCTAAAGTAATCATGATCATATTAGGCCACATTGACATGATAATTCAGTTCTTACTCCTTTTTAGCTTAAGTTCAGAGAAAAAGGAAAGTATTTTGGCATCTGCTTGATAGCAGAATAAAGATACCCTTTTCAAATATCTCAAGGTATTAGGAGACCTCTAGTGGCAGCAGGTTGCCATATGCTTAAAATGCCTTTTTGTTTTTCCAACTACAGGTATCGAGCAGCTAAACAATTGTTTTCAGAGTGACATTAGTCTTTCCAGGACTTTTTAATACACTCAAGAGGCCATGCCTCCCTCATCAAAGTTCTTCTTTTTAAGGGCTACTTTTAAACCTGAAACTTTATGTTAGGGGTGAATTGTTAGCCAATTATAGGCAGGGTGATGGGAGTTTTTGGCATGCTTGACAGATTTTGGAACAGGAAAAATCAGGGTCTGTCTGTTCAGGCTTCATGGTCATAGATTTTTTAAAAGAACTCTCTGGTCCCAAATCCCCAATAAAGATTCTGATGCCAAAGTATCTGATGGCTGACAGCCTTAAACTAGAAATAAATAAAGCAAAATGAATTTGGTGGGAATAAAAGCTTCTGACTAATTACTGAAAAGCAACTCTGAAGTGATGCTCATTTCATGGTAGTACAGAGATAATTGTGTAGAATGGAGCAGAGACCACTGAGAGAAGTGCTGAGTGCTTCAGTGAAACCCACAAACTTACGGCGATTTTTCAACAAACCAGAGGTTTCCTGGCTATGGTAGTCAATGCATCATAGCCAGGTAAATCAGATTTTAATTAAAACGTATGGTAAAAACAAAGGTGGACATGATGTACATCATAGCCCATCAAGCCTGTAGTTGTGCAAGTTAACATGTTTGACCAAAAGGTTTCTAGCAAGCATCTGCTCACGCTATAGACGTTTCACTGAATTGCATTCTTTGTCTTTTAGATGGTGCCATAGTTTAAACTGAGAAAGTCTGTGTCAACTATTAATCAACCAGTTGAACATTTGCCAATTAAGTTTGCTAGTGTAACCCCTGTGGAATATTGGTCCGGCCCAAAGGAATGGATCTAAGAAAGAGCGAGACTGTAAGAAATTTGACTCAAGAACAGGAAAGCTGAAGATGCAGGAGCTGCTGTTGCCACAAAGGCCCTTGGTGACTTGGTTTAGGCAACATTCCTAAATCCACATAATAAATCCATGTATATGCAACTGAATTGGCATTTTATTCCAGGGTTCTGAGGATTCTGCACATGCAGCTGCCTCCTCTGTGTTCAGACAGTTGAAGAGGACACTTTGGATCTCTTCGTTTGAGTTGGATTCAGAAGGACTTTGAACTTTGCAGCTTTACAGCCAGTTTTACTTGTACTGGTGCTGTTGCCAGAGTCTTTGGTGCAACGGGTTGTAGTATTTTGTTATTATATAATTGTTCAGGATGTTTGGTTATAACATTGTTGATAAAAAGAGGGTCATTTGTATGTTAGGCTGTGTTGCAATGTTCATTAGGAAACAAATAGCCCCATAGAATCTACCAGTGTCACACTAGTTGAAATGTCTGTGTGTTAAAATTTAAAGGTCTTACCTGTATGTTGCAGAAAGTTAAGCAAATAAGCACAATCTATTTTAAATTTTGTAAGATAATTAAACAATATGTTATTGAATTTACTGATGTGTTACCATCTGTAAACTGTACCAAAAGTAACTTCTCAAAGATAAAACACAGGAGGCATTTGAGCCTAATGAAGATAGTTCTTTCAGGGAGCTGAAACACTTTTTCAGGTTCTTGGAACAAATATCTCAGTAGTTCATTGACAGGTCCACTAATTTTTAACATCGTCATGGAGTATTATTCCCCTTGGCACCATCATTACCATGGTTGATTACATTTTTATGCTTATAAAATTATTTATTTATTTAGAAAGCTTCTATGCTGCTCCATTAGCCGAAGCCTTGGGGTGGCTCACAACAATAAATAATAACAGTATAAAACAATATAATTGGAGACGTCCTGGCCATAAAAATAAATATCAACAATTAAAATGGCATCTGAAAATGAATAAATTATGATTTATTTCTATAGCACCCAGTGGTTCTCTGGGCAGTCTATTAATATTTCAGTGTGTTGTACTTGTGTGTGTGGGAAGTCATAGTACAGAAGTTGTAGTTTAGATCTCAGCAATAGTTACACAGAGGGGAGATACGTGAAAAGTGTTGGCTCATTTAAGCCTACTCCACTCCTGGTTTCCAGTCTCAACTGCCTACATGGACATGGGTTTTGGAAACTGGCATATACATGGGGAACCAGTCATGTAACTTCTTTCCTAGTATGGCACTTTTCTGCAGATCTTTTCCCTTTTCATAACTTCATTAGTAAAAAGTGCATGCATGCCAATTGCAAATGCAATCTCAGGTAATGCTTTTTTAGCATGACCTGAAAAAGGAGGCAGGTTACTGAAACGTGGGAATGAAGTGTTTGCAATAGAGGCAAAGAAACTGACAGTGCTCTAACAATCTTACTGGGAGACTATTTAACTTGAGTTGCCATCATATCATACACAGTTCTTTGGGTTGCAAAAATTAATAAAAAGTACTGAAAATTTTAAGACCCTTAAATTTATCCTTAAACATTGCTACATTCTGCCTAAATTGGTATGAGAAAATTCAGAGCCGCAGCACCCACTTTGCAAAAGTACTGCAGGGTGGGAACTAGGGCTATGACTTCTGAGCTGCTGTCTGTGCTTGCAGCTGGCATGGCTTTCTGTGCAGCTGCCGCTCTGAAGTCATGTGTGCAATTGCAGGTGAAAGGGAGCAGTAAGGCTTTGAGGTCTGAGGATGCCTGAGGATGAGGGAAGCATGGAGACAATCCTTGCTTCAGTGCTCCTTCTGCCCTCTGCAGGACGCCTTTTCAGAGGTTTATGGGAAGGCATATTGGATGGCACCTGAAGCATATGGTATTGTCTTCATTTGTTTTCAAGTATTCTGATTTTTTTTACACAGTGCAACATTTAAATCACTATGCTTGCTTTAGTGTTTCTCCTTACCATATTTCAGATCAAATACTTGTGGTGTAGTATAGCAAAATAAAAGCGGGGCTAACTCTTCAGTTTTACCAGGTACTAGAGATGTAATAAACATAGATCTCCAAGGCATCAAATTCTTTCCAATGCAAACTGTTTCCCCCCCTATGCATATGATCTTGAGTTACAGCAGAACATTGCCCAACTTAAAATTTTCCTTTAAACACACATCCATGGTGGGAAGCCACAAAAGTTAAATTATATCTAACCTGCTTTGTTAAGAAATTAAACTTTCTTGGCAGTGGGGAGAGCAAACTAGAGGTTGTACTGTTTTGCACTTTTCAGTCTCTTGTCTAGGCTGATCATTTTTATTGTGTCATTTTTGTTCTTTTACTATGCAATCTGCCCAGAGAACTGTTTGTTAATGGGTGGACTGAATATATAAAACTCATGCAAAACATGTAAAAACTCATAGGAAATATCTGTTCCTTCTATTAAAAATGGATTCACTTCCTGTTCACTTCAGGCTGCTCTGCCTGCTTGTACCTATGATCTGACCTTTTGATTGCTGGAAAAAAACTTTACTGGCAGCTAGCTCTTCACCCATTTCTAGTGTTCACACAATGCTTGCTATTTCTCATCACTCACTTGTATGACCCTTTATCAGGTTGTTTTCAAGGTTAAAAAGCTCTGATGATAGGTCCTGAAATGTTCTGAGAAACATTTTAAGAGGTTCTACCTTTGACAGTTTTTATTGGACTTTACTGGGGTCTGATAACTGTAGTTTCCCTCTCACTGCCTTTATAAGCTTCCCTTTTTTTCATTTTTTAAATGTTTTAATTCTGGTCTTCAGTTGTGTAATTTCCTATGAACTATTGTCCCATCATTCCAAATTACTTTCCAGAAACTTTAAAAGTTTGCAAAAGTTGTTTGCACTATAGTTCATAAACTCAATATAGGTCTAGTGAAATGAACTTTTAAAAATACTTCACAGAAAAGGGATTGTGATGTGAGGTAACAGAATACAAGCAGAAACTGAGACACAAAACAATTGCATAGGCTGATAAAAAGAGCAGTACATAAGTAGGTTTCCTCAACAATGGCTTTCTTGAAGAAATGGATCTTAACATATAACCCTAGTGTCTTCATTCTTTTTCGGCTGATACGCCAGGACTTTAAAAACCACTGACAAAAAATAGGTTCTAAATCCCTGAAATATGGTTTTATTGGAAGAATAGTGATAAAACCTCAGAGATACAAGTCATACACAGCAATTGGATACCTTCACATTAAGACGTTGGCATTGGTGGCCACAACATTTACCATGTTAATTCCAGCTCTTTTGGACAAAGTTGTTTAAAAAACAGAATTCCTAGGGAATTAAAAGATGGTTTCATTTACAGTATAAACATAGCTGATTTTCCTGATTTTTCATCTGAGTCTCAAAAAGGTTAGAAGATTTTCTAAAGTATAGCAAGTATGATGACTCAGTGGTCAAGACTGAGTACACATGTCTACTCAGAAGTTTGTCACAGTTTCTTTGCAGCTTATTCCCAAGTGTTTGTGCCTATCATTGCAATCTTAAGACAGGAACATGCTGCTGCAGATGCACCATGGCAAAAAAAAAAAAAAAAAAAAAGAGCAGGGAGAGAATACATCCCCACCCATTAGTTCCATCAGTAGATACAATTTCAAGCAGGTTCCTTCCATTTATATCTGAGTTTCAGAATGTACAAGAGCTCAGCTAGGAAAAATACAACACCAAAAGTCAACCCAGTGCCAGCTCTGACAGGGGACAATAAAGGCAGCATTGTTTCATTCTGGAAAGGATGCCATCCTAATCACAGCCTTTCCTGGGAAATTCCAGCAAGATTTATACCAATTATTTGGGTCTGAAGATTAAAAAAATCCATGCAGCCAATAGAATTCCTGAAAACATGAAGGATCACTTTAGCATTTCATACTCATCTGGATAAAGACTTTTTTCCCAGCCTTCCTGAAAATCATATATGCCTCGCAAATCAACAGCATTCTGGAGATCCTGAAATATTCACTCTGTTCTGGGTAGCAGTGTTCCTCTGAGTGACAAACTCTGCTTATTTTACCAACAAGTTTAATGGAACTTACTCCCAGGTCAAATATACTTAAGACTACAGTTTTGGAGTGGTTTTAAAGAGAGTGGTATGACAGCAAAATGTTAGTAGCGTTCTGTCTGTACAGATAAGCTAGTGGATCAAATATGTTCTGATGAAGCCAAGCACAAAGCCTCTTAAAGCTTGCTAAACTGTAATGGGACACACACATCAACACAATTGATCAAGAGCAGTATTGTGTAGTGCTGTCTTCACAACACCCTAAATTGCCTTTCCTTGTGCAGAAAGACAGAGGAGAGCAAAGGTGAGGACCCAAAGGGAATTCAGTGACCAACTTGGTCACACATACAGCTGGTAGAAATGAAATAGCCCTTTTCTATTTAATACAAAACATACTTAAGGATTAAAAGGAATAACACTCCCCCACAAAAATATTCAAACCACTTTGTGGAGGAAAGGGGTTATCTTTCCCAAATGTGGCTACACTGTGCATAAATAATTTCTCATTTTCCTGAGACAAATACTACCATGTCTTACCTGGCTTGGTAAGCTATGGAGATATCACATCACAAAATTGACCCAGATTAGTCAATAGGATGGCTGGGTTGAAAAACAGCCTTTACCAAATTGGTATGTCCAGAAGGACAGTGTGGCTAATCATCAGGAATGCTAGAAGCTGTAGCCCAAAAACATCTGGAGAGCACCACATTGGAGGAGGTTGCTGTTTTTCAAAAAAGGATACTGAGCAGCAGTGTTATTTCCTGAACTTTCATCCACACTTCTACTCATTGCCATTTTTTTGGTATATGTTAGCAATCAGGCCCATGTTTGGCTAAGATTGTGCATAAGAAAGTATAGCTGTTATGTGCCATCAAATAATCTCCGACTTATAACGACTTGAATGAATGCCCTCCAAAATGTCCAAACCTTGGCAGCCCTGCTCAGCTCTGGTAACCTCAGAAAGTATAGCACTTACAAAAGCAGTAAAATAAGGAGATAGCTGAACACTTCAGAATTCTGCACTGATCTTCCATGCAAGTCAACACATACAACTCGAGCTTCACATGTTCATGTGTTCACGTGAAATGGCAATGTACTCGTCAAATTAGCATAACTGTTGGCTCCATGTTGACATGAAGAGACCTGGAATCAAGTAATAACCACTGCCCCATCGCTCTCCACAGTCAGAGATGAAGAAAAAGGATCATACTCAATGCTCTCAGTCCAGTGCACATTACAAGATCTATCTTTTCCTAGGTTTCTCTTTTTTAATATTTAGGTCAGTTTACAAGCAAAAACACAATTGAATAAGTCAAAAGCCTACAGTTGTTTCATCAAGATTGTCTATTTTGAACTTTTTTTACCTTAAAGTTCAAAAGCAGACTATTAATGTTCCATTAAAGATGGAAAATGTTGAATGGCAATTGTAGGAAAAGTAATTTTAAGGCCATTGTTCCGTAAGAAACTGCAATGAAGGTGAGTATTAGCAACCAGCCAAAGCTCAACTTTAATCGTTCTTCCTAAAGACAATCATTCCATCCAAACTACCATACCAGATTCATATACTAGTCCTACAACTTTAACACATCTCCAAGATTCATAAACACTCATATTTTGTTTTTGAATATAGAAACCACAGTCCTATTCAAGGGATATCCTTCACATTTAAGACTGTTACAAATCTGAATCTTTATTGTTCTGAAATGATAGAAACTCAAGACAAAACTCTCCAATTTTCAGTCTCAGAAGAGATGTGGTTCAATGCCCATTTCATGTGTAACAATGCTCCCTTTAAAAATAAAAGGAAAAAATGGCTAAGTTCATGTGAATGCAACCCTTGGTTTTGACTCAGTTTTTGTAGGTGTGGGCACCACAAGATCCAGCATTTTCTTCAGAGCTGCTCTTGCTATGATGCTTGGCGAACCTTTTGCCATTCCACAAATTCATCAAGAAGAACAGGCCCTGGAAATGGAATAATAGCAATTTCAAACCACAGTATTTCAGGCAACCTCAAACTTTTCAGCAACTACAAAAGATGAGAGCGAGAGCAAGAGAGAGAGTCCTTCTTTTACAAATGCTTCCACTACTTTTGAGATATAGGGCAGGGATTACTCGACCCCCTTCTTGTGCGTTTAACCTTTGCCAATATACAGGGCTCCACAAATGCATTTCCCGGGCTTCTGCTGGACAGTGCATTTTTCCCCTAATGTTTGCAAGGTGCTCCACCCTTCCTCTGAGCTAGGAAAAGGACAGGGGATTACAGACTTCTTCGAAAGAATTCTAGAACAGTGAATCTTCTGCTTTCTGAGGAGAATGCTACAAGAAAAAGTTTCTGCCCAACACTCCCCACCAGGGCTTACTCCTGTATTTGCACTGGGCCTGAGAGAGAGATGACCCATCTATGAAGCCTAGTGTGACATCACAGGCAAGGTGTCACATATCCCACTTCATGGAGACTCAAGATCATGACAACCATTAATGTGTACTGGTTACAAAGGCTTTAACTGGCAGCATCAGTATTAGGACCCCATTGCCCAAAGCATTCTAAGACAGCAAGCAATGCTGACATGCAAACATTTCATGTTGTTTTTTAAGGAATACCCCTAGAAAGGACACATTTCCACTTATTGCTTTGTCCTGCAGAACTTTATGAAACTGAAGATATAAGTGAAGCTGCTTAAGATTCAACTGAATTAAGTCACTGGTTCAACTTCAACCATTTTGGGATGGAAGAAAAATGTGGAGATATGGAGCAAGCCAAGCAGCTATTATGCTGTGTTGGAGAAGCAAAATGAAATATCAGAGTAACATTAGCTTAAGACTACAATTGTACACATGTTTATGTGGCTTTTGGCCCTATTGGGATGCACATTTTTAAGGCTCACAGAAACAGATTATTTCAGTCCTTCTGTGCAGGAGGGCTGGAGTGATAAGACTGCTCATTCCTGCTACTGCATATGACAGACCAAAGATAGGAAAGTTGGCAAGAGCTTTATCACTAGCCTTCCAGAAGAGAAATTAAATCTGTTCCTTCCAGCTGACATTTGTGTAATTAAACATTCTTGTATCATAACTGGCACTGTTTGGTCGAATCCTTACACTAGTATATCTGTGATAGCTTTTAATAATTTTCTGAGTTGCAGAGCATTAAAAGAAGTTGACTTTAATATTTATATATTTAAACTTTAATATTTATAGCCCATCTTTTCTTATATAAGGTCAAAAGGATTCACACAAATGAACCACAAATTACAATAAAAACCAAAACTGACAAAAGCCAATGTGGAATAGTAGTCCCCTGTTACAAATGCTAGTAAAAGCCCTATCTGCAAGGGTATGGCCAGATTTTTAAATCAAAACTCTTTCTAGAAACATCAGGATGAAAGGTCAATAAGGAAGGGCCAATGACAGATTCTGGACAAGACAGTGTAGCTTGGGCACAGCACGAAGAAAAAAAAGTTCCTCTCTGCTTATTCATGTGATTCCTGAAAATATCATTATCTAGTTCATACAGAAATAATGGAATCAGGGACAATAAAATGTGTATCCTACACAACTACAGAAATTATTACCACCACCACAAAATTTTAAACATCTCCAAAATCAGATTATAATGAGCCAACTCAGATTGCATTTATTTTTAAAAACATAAGAATAAATTCCATTGTTTTTTCAGACTCTGAAAAATGGTACCTACAGTTTAAAAAATAAAAATCAATGTGCCTTATAGTGAAAACTGTATGGATACACATTTACAAATCTGGACAGCCTATACAGAACTTTTGCCAGACAGCACTGTTGAGAGCCCTGGACTATATCGCTGTAATGCAGGGGTGAGCCATTTCTGTCCCTCCAGATGCTTTGGCCTACAACTTGCACGATCACTCACCACTGGCTTTGGTGCACCCCTCTAAATGTTTTGGCCTGCTTATTGCCCACCCCAGCTCTACTGAATGAAAAATGATGTTCAACTGTAACTTTGTTATGTTTCTTCTTTACCACTAAGCCTTTTATCCAAGCCTCCTATCCCACTCTTTTGCTTTTGATGCATCCTTGATGTAGTCTCAAGACTGATGTTTTTAACTGAAAATGAAAAAATAGTTTAATGAGTAAAGTTAAAAAAATGAGAATACTCACATGCCCCATCTTCATCATAGTTGCTAAGATCTGCATGGACAGTTCGGCTGAATTCTAGCACATTGTACCACTGATCTTTGTTAATTACTCTGTATTTTGACTGCTACAGAAAAATAAGAGATAGAGACTCAGACCACCTCCTCAGAATGATGTATATGGATACAGTCAGGGTTCTTTTCCTCTCTCTAAAGGCAAGAGAATATAGCAGCCTGGAAATGTTTGAAGAGGAAGCCAGCTTGATTATTAGAGCTAAATGCTGTTCTGGACAAGGTAACAGGAACAGCACTGAAGCAAAGGCAGACATGTGAGCATTGGAAAAGGCATAGATAGTATGGAAAAGAAAATACCATCTTTTCCTTTTCTTTTACCAGAAAACTACAACAAATATGGGGTTTCCGCTTTCTTGTAGATTCTGAAAGAACTTCTTGGAGTAAATAAGCTTGCCACTGTACAAAAGGTGAAAGTCTATTTAACCCAGTAATGCAGGAAAAGGATGCCAAATCTACTCATGAGACCCACCTAGTTGTGCTGTCAGGAAAGTCCACAGTTGTTTCTCATTTAAAGTCAGGACTAATAGTTGGTTTTAGTAACAGTTTTTCTGGATGCAATCACAAGACAGATCTAAATATCTAAGGTCATAATGCTATGGTCTGACCACAAGCTAGATTGAAGCATCTGATCTCACAGCTTCGGAGAATCTGACAGGCTGCTGACAGGGACAACAGAGACCATTTTTGCCTTTCCGCCTTCCTTTACATTCTCCCACCTCTTGATGGGCCTCCACGTTCACCTAGAGTAGCTGTGCTGCCAGACAGGAGAGGTCAGGGGATACACAGCCTCCCCTTTCCCATTGGAACCCCGCTCCTGACTTCTAGGGCCATCTGAAGTTGCCATTGCAGCCCTGGAAAGCAGTCGATGTAGTTCTTTCCACGGCAGCTGCAAGAGGGTGTGTATATGTGGGAGGTCTGAATTCTACAACTTTAAGGAACAAGGTTGTCTAAGGCTTTTGAAGGGAGTTCCAACATTCCCTTAAGGACTGTAGGATTGCTTTGTAATACATTTTTCCTTTTAATGGGGACATACCTCCAAGTATTGGTAAAATACTGAAAACAGTGGCCATGTTCTCCCAAGAAGAAGAGCTAACATAGATTTTGCAGTGTCAATATCAAGACTTCTCTGGTCTTTGTCCTAAAGAGATTTTTTAAGAAAAAAGCATAATTCAGAATACAGACAACAGTTCCTTCAAGTCAATTTTTTTCTAAAGAGAAATGCACTTACCCTTGCAAAATCGAATGCATATCTGTAGATATTCTTAAATGTTGAAATGTCATTCAGTTGCGAGCGCAAAAAATCAAATTTACTCTGCAGCTTTTCTGTGCAGTCACATCTTAAATAAGAGAGAAAAAGTTACATGTCAAACATATTTGGAATATAAAGGTTATGCTACTTTTTGAGTTTATATTCTTGTATAAAACAAGTAGATACAAATAGTGGGAACAAGGACCACAAGATTGCAAGGAGGCTGCATTTCCTCTTTAGCAGGAATACAGCCATGCCAAAATGAAATTCAGCAAGATCAGAATCACCAGCCAGCAGCAGCTACAGGGGCTTTGCTTCCTCTTCCTTTCCAGGAAGATCTCTATTCTAACTACTCTGGAATAATGGATGGCAAATATGTGATGCATAGCTTGTCAAGGTTACCTGAATTCCTCCTTGAAGAATACCTCATACCAGTTATGTTCTTAAACACAATCTTTTCCCTCAAATGGGAAAAAATGTAATTTTCAATGGAAAAGATATATTTTTTTAAAGCACACCCAAAAAGTACATTTTCCCATTAAAGTGGGAGAATGCATTCTTTCTGAAAAATGTGCATCTTGAATGGGCTCACAACTTTTCCTCTCAAAATGCACATGTTTATGTTTACAGTTGTTGGAATGAACATAAATCTCTACCAAGGGCTGCACTGGGGAGAATGGTAAAGTACCATTCTCCATGATAAACTACCTAGAGCAAGGCTGAAAAAAGTGTACGGCCGGCCCACCCAAGAAAAAGAGGGGAAAATACACTCTAGGAATGGGCTCTATGATTTCTGCCATAGACACCTCATTCATAGTGCCTTCAGACATAGGACTTCAAGGATCCTGCCTACTTCCTATGATGTTCTAGGAACAGAGCTTCCCTGGCAGGAAACACAGAAATAGTTCCTAGAGCATTCTTTCCTTTTATATTCTGATTTTTTAAAACATTTCTTCTGCAAGAAAGAGGATTAGAGGGAGCAGGATTAGGACCCAGGCTTCTTGGGGTTTCTGTAAGGAATGTTACTTTTATCTGATCAAAGCAGGTATCAGCCTTCTGAAACACTCTTGGTGCTGGATCTGACGAGGTGGGGTGGGGTGGGATGTGTGGGAGGGAGGGAGGGAGAGACACATGCCGTAGGAGAGTCGCATGTGAATGTGTCTGTGTATGTTTGCATGCACCCCAGCAGACACCCAAATGGACCCTTGGATCTGAAAAAGTTGTGCAGCCCTAAGCTAAAGGAAAGATGGCTGTAGGTCAGCTGCTCTGTTTCTGGAGAGCGACATTCCCTCCATGCCCTGTTTGTGGGCATCAGGTTGGCTGCTCAGGAATGAGACTAGGGGCTAAATAAGGCTACAGAAAAACAAGGGGTGGCATTAGCATATCTGAGAGATCCTTCAAGTTTTGAGAGGGATAATAACAAATCTTAAAAAACACATCAGAAGGGGACTACTCCCAACAAGGTCTGGGCACGCTTAATGGATATAGGAAACTACAGAATGCGAAGTGTCAGCTGACACAGAAAAAAATGAAATCAATTGCGGAGGGAGAGTAAATTGTATTGTTTGGGTTTCTAAGAACTTAAAGCAAACCAGAAATTGGCATGGCAGGCATTCTGATCAGGAATACTCATTTTACACCATAAGATATACTACAACATTATGTTGCAGGTCCCAATTGTAGATTTATAGGCTGCCCTTCATTATAAGAGTATCAGGAGAGCATCCCCTTTAAAAATAAAGACAAAGCAGTGAAAGCACAGGAATGACAGCCATAAACTCAAGCAGAGCAACAAAGACAATGCAAAAAACAGCACACATTGGAATGCTTGGGTACATAAAAATTCTCACCTGGCATCTAAGAGACAGAAGGTAAGTGTGGAAAGGAAAGCTTCTCAAGTTCACTCAGTATGATTTGCCATGTCTCAATACTTCTCTGTGGCTATCCCCTATGGAGTGGCTGTGTGGGGCATCTGTAGGTAGCCTCCAGTGATGAGCAAAGGGCCCAAGTGGGCTCAAATACCTAGACACAAGCCACTTAGGTCTTTAAAGGCAATGACCTGTACTTTGCACTGAATGCAGCTGCCAGCAGGTGCAGCTGTTATAGCCGTGATAAAGTATCTTCCTGCATTGGTCCCAGCCAGTAAACTAGCAGCCTTGATACCAACTAAGCTTTCTGGGAAGTATTTTAAGGCAGTACCAGCCAACCTTCATACTGAAAGGGTCAAACCTGGTCACCAGCTTCAGCTAGTGAAAAAGCAGCAAAGCAATGCTTTTACAGACAGCACTGCACTGGGGCAAAACCTATGCTTCTCGGAGAAATGACAAAATTCCCTATTTTCTCCACATCCCAGGCAAACCTTTAGCAAATGACATATATGCAAGGACACAGTGCTGTACTTTTCAGGAGAAGTTGAATGCCACATCGAGAGGTCATATGACAATTATCCTCAGACCAGTTTGAAATAGGCAACCACAGACAGAGGTTTGCATCAAGTATTCGAAAAGTTTATCCACTATCAAATACATATGAAGGTGATTTTAAACATAAAAAGCTCTTACTGTAACGAAGTCATCCCCTTTAACCATTCTTCCTTTGTAAAAAATCCCATGCTTTCAGCCTCCAGTTTCCAGGCTAGAACTAGCATTACAATCTGTACAAGAAATGGAGATTTGAAAGAAAGTCATATTTACAGGGAACTGCTACTACAGGAGAAAAAGGGACATTTGAGTACACATGCTCCTTCTCAACTCTCACAAGGAGACAGCTGTTGTTCTTGAAAGGAGAGATCGGAGGGATACTCAAGATTCTTGGCGCATGTGTTGCTGCCCTTAGGCAGCAGGTTCATCACATCACCTCTTCCTGCAAAGGAAGCTGGGAATATGTGCACGTGGAAAGCGATTGTGGAAAAAATTAGTACTACCCGGGCTTCTTTGAACCTGTCAGGAAGTGGTCTGAAAGCTGTTCCAGTGGGCTTTGAGAGGCAGTTTGGAGAATGAGGAATTGGGCATGACTTAGCAGGGGGAGATAGGGCAGAGAAAAGAGGGTAGGTTGCCATTCGGCATTTTGTTTATTACAGTTTTATGCCACCCAACAGCTGACATTCTCTGGGTGTGTTACACAGATTAAAACGTGAAAATTACATTACATAAAACATATATATAAACATGCAACAACAGTGACAACTGGAATTGAGGGGAAAAATAATTTAAAAAGGCGATGGTGGCTGCAATGGTAGTTTCCTCCACCTGAAGGAGGAGAAAACTAGCTCCACCTGCTTTTTTAGCCTTGTTGGTAGAAAGAATTTAATTCTGGATGAAAATGTGAACCTCCCAGGTATCATGGAGACCTGGATTAGGAAAAGAAGGGAGCATGTCTCACCAAGCTGTACTGGACAGGTTAAGACTGTGCCACTGACGACTAGAGCTTGGGTGCATGGGGGAGGTGGCGATCAAGCACACCGCAGGAATTTTGTGTCAGCAACCACATGCTGCATCCAACATTTTACAAAGTCTGAGCGTCTCCTGTTGCAGATGGTGAATGCACACTCATGGAATCCATACACTGGCCCACTGCTCAACAGTTTCCCTTCCTGAACGAGCTGGTATGATCTCACACTGGTGCTGGATCACCCAGAGCTTCTTATTTGGGAAGATTTCAACATTCATGCCAAGGTTGCTCCCTTGGGAGCAACTCAGATTTCAAGTCCACTATGGTAACTATGGGTCCTGGAATGTGTAACTTCGTTTTGATCTTTAAAAAGAAGTTTGGAAATAGTCAATAAATTAGATGTGAAAATGGTGTAAGGATATATGTTGAGAAGGAACATGAAAGGAGAAAGCACCCCAAATTCTCACCCAATTCTCCTTTACAGTCACCTTTTACCCCAACATGTCTTAAAAAAACATAGGGTTTTAAAGGCTTCTGGAGATCAGCCAATACGTTATTCATTATTATGTATTCATATATTATTCAAGCCTACAATCCAACAAAATGAATTAGGGGTGGTAGGTCAGAGAGAAGCATAATTAAATTCAAGAAATGTGGGAAGGCTAATAGATATACCTTAACTATTTACATATGATATTAAACTAATATTCAGTAGCTAAACTTACATTTTCTGGTTCAACACCAATGTCCTCACAGAATTTCTCCATTCCTTCAGGCCCTACAACTTCATCGTCACCTTCAAAACAAAGAAAGCCAGCTAAGGAATCACACAGATAGTTTAAAAATTCTTTCTTCATTTATAACCAGCATACCCGGAGGAGGGCTTTCTCTGTGGTGGCGCCCAATTTATGGAACGCGCTCCCCAGAGAGGTCTGCCTGACGCCGTCATTAATTGCTTTTCAGTGCCAGGCCAAGACCTTTTTATTCAAATGTTATTTTAATTGTTAATGTTATTTATTGATTTTAAATTGCCAAGATGTCTCCACTATTTCATATATTTATATGTTGATTTATTTATGATTGGAAGCCGCCCCGAGGCTTATGTGAAGGGGGCAGCATGTAAGTTGTTTAAATAAATAAATCTGGATTAATGGAGTGTGTGTGTGTGGGGGGGGGGGGGGAGAGAGAGCGCGCGCGCACGCGCAAGAGCGAGCACACAAATGCATGTTGAGGGGGAAAGAGAAGTTAATTTTCTGCAGCAAACTGGACACTAACCATGTTGTTTTCCAGTTGTCCTACAACTGTGGTCCCTAAGGCTTGGTCTGCCATCAAATGAAGAAGGGCAACAAAAACATGTAAGGGACTGGAGCAGCTCCCCAATGGGAATGGCTGCAAAAGCTGGGACTGTTTAGTTAAGAAAAAAAGGCAAGGAAAAGGAGACATGATAGAGATGTTTAAAATAATGAATGGTATGAAGAAAGATGCTTAGGGCCATCCTATGAAGTTGATTGTTGGGAAGTTTTACACAGATAAAAGCAAGTATTTCATATTGTGAATAGTTAAACTATGGAATTCACTTTCACGGGAAGTGGTGATGGCTGCCAATCCAGATGGCTTGAAAGAGATTGGACAAATTCATGAGGGAAGAAGCTATCAGCAGCTACTAGCCTTGCTGGTTACGTGCTGCCTCCTTTACCAGAGATGGCATGACTTGCATGCACCAGCAGCTGAGGAGCTGGGCAGGAGGAGGTTTTGCACCCATCCTGCTTGAGTGATCTTGTGGGCAGTGGGTTTGTCAGTGTGTGTACTGAATGCTGGACTAGATGGACCTTTGATCTGATTCAGCATGGCTTCTCCTATGTTCTTAACCTGCACAGGACTAATTTGCATCATTAATGACATAATTAGGATATTTCAATTATAACAGCTTCAGGACTCTTATCCTTAAACAAAGACCCTTGAAGGGCTAGTGTAAGCTTCCAGTTATATACTTAAGTTGGTATGTGTTTGGAGCTATATCTGAATTCCACTCATTCTACTCCTAAGGGAATATCATGCCATTGTTTATAAGAACAGATGACAAACTGAGGCAGTAATTCAGGGATCTTCTTCAATGCCTTTATTTCAGCCTTAGATTATCTCCTTCTTCCAGTAAAGAGGAATTTAAAATAAGCTAAGTAGTTAGTACATATCTTATTACACAAACAAGTCCTCATTTACTTGCATACAAAGATGTATTAAAGTACAATTCTGAGTGAATTCAGTATGAATTGGTGTTTTCCCAAGACAACTTTAAGACTTCCAATATAAGTGTCATGATTCAGGCTTTGTTTCCATACTCTGAAGCAGCTTTACTGCTTGCTGCCTCATATATATTTTTAGAATTTGCTCTTGTTCTTTAGCTTGTGATTTTAGTGCTGAACAATTCTATATTACTTCAAACAAGTGAAAAACAGCTAAATGCATTTGATAACTACACTATCAGTATTTCACTCATTTTTCCCCTTCCTATAATGCCTCCAACTTATTGTTGTTTCAGAAGGTAGACAGTTTGGCTGGATCAGTTAAAAGTGAAGCAAAACTTTCAAGAACCCCTCTCCAATTACTTGGTGCTGTCTATGGACTCCCACTTTGTTCCAAAACCCAACACCCTTCATTTAGCTGGTAAAATAAAGACTATTAGTGGTAAACAAAACAAATTGTCATGACTAATTAAGAACTGAGGCTCAACTGCAGCACACCTTAATCTGGTGCTTTCTAGATGTTATGGAATACAACTCCTAGGATTCCTGACCATTGCCCATGATGGATGGGGCTAATGGAAGTTGAAGTCCAAAACATCTAGCATGCACCAGGTTTTGGAGGGCTGTTCTAAAGTGCACATTTAACTTATACAAGGGATGCATAGAAGAAGACATAAACAAAGCAGAGATTATACTCAAGAAGCTTGCTTTTCCAGAAGTTAACTGGAAAGGGTACAATAACACCATATGAGCAACATATCTAAATATCTTAAGATGAAATTTACTTAAAACAGAAACTCTGTATGATTCTGTTTAGTGTAGTTATTCTTATCAGATGTATTCGTGCAAAATACATTGCTCACTACTACATGAACACAAATAATAACATACAGGGAAAGACAATGGAGAAGCTGCAACTACTGATAATATCAAGACATTGCACTGTATGGATCAGTGAGGGAAAAGTGTAAGGTCATGGCTCTACTCTGAGTAAAATGTGCCGGCACAATGAACTGTAACAGCACATTGATCAAGTTCATCACTGCCTAAGGCCTTTTGTTCAGAAAAAGTACTAAACACCATAGTATGAGCACTCAAGTGGCAAGCTTCACAGCAATCTTCCCCCATCCCACTCCCCTTAAGGGTTACTGGTGAAAAAACAAAACAAAACAAAACCCTGACTGTCATTTGTATCTAGGGAAGCAGTGCAGTCTTTAATAAGAGTTAGCACTGAGCCAACTGTTTATGCAACTGAACAGAAACCAACACAATGTGCTCTTCCCATGTTCGACTATATTCATAGCATTCTCTCTTTTCTGCCATATGGGTCAACTGATGCTTAAGGCAGAAGAAAAAGAAGCTGAGCTATACTTGCACCCTAACAAGATTTCAGCAGTATGGTCTTGTGATGCAGTTTAAAAGGGGCAACTGCTAATCTCCATGGGGCACCTGCCAAAGAAGTGCAGGTAGAAGGAACATGGAAAAGAACTAGGGTTCAGCAACAACACCCTCAGTAATTGCTTGCCAGGCTTTCTAAACCTAAAATTGGTTTTTCAGAAGTTTGGACACTTCCTATTCCAACATAACTCTTAGTTTTAACAAACTGATTTAGTTTGAGGAAAATAGCTTGAGAAAAGACACAAAAAGTCACACATTATTACTGACACAAAACAGTTGCAACATGATTTTGCGATGTGAGCCACCCAGAGAGCCCTCAGGCTATGGGGCGGCATACAAATGCAATAAATAACTAAATAAAGTATTACTAAGTAACTGAAACAAAATCCAAAATGTAAGCATGCATTAGTTTCATACCTGCATATTCATAAAACCAAGCCAGGCACTTCTTGCTTGAAAAATGTTCATCACCACTTATCACTTTACTAGAAGCTTGTGATCTGCAATAGCTTAGAAAGACATAAAATATAGCTTTGTTAAAGCTGTTCCCAATATATATTCCCAATAATGAGTTGCTAAAAGAAAGCACATTTTTCTAAAAAGGCATGAAAACAATTAAGTATTGAGTTTGATGCACCAATTGTTACATGTTTTACAAGGAGAACGTAAGAGCCATGCTGGATCAGACTACAGAGCCATCCAAGCATTCTGCCCACTCAGGAGCCAACTAGTTGTCTGTGGGATCCTGCAAGCAGGATAGGAGTACAACTGCACCCTCCCACTCAAGTGCCCACAACTAGTATATACAGGTACCTATGCTTTCAATGTGCCAGAACGCAGATGGTGGAACACCTCACTTTCATTTTTTCTTTCTATTCTTACTCATTCAACAGCTTGAAGAACTGACCAGCAATCTAACACATCACTAATTCACTTTCATTCTGATAATCAATTTTTCAAGGCTGTAGGAATGGCACATAAGCTTATGAATGCTGCAAGGTGTTGCAATGTACCTTTGTGAATACATAAAAAGTAAGTCCCCACAAGGTGAGTTGAATGGAACTTGATAACATATATTTTTGAAAGACCACTGAACAAGTCTAACTACATTGTTGCTGTTGCCTATATAAGCATCAAAACAAGCAATCTGCCCACTGCACTGCAGAGATTTGCAAGCCAGAATAGCTACAACCAACATACATGTTGATGTGCATCTTAAGGATGTGCTTTTCAATGCATAATGGGGATCTGCATGCCTATTATAACCACCAGTTGTTGTATCCGAGACTGTAATGCTAGCTTATTAGAGAACAACAAATGATACACAAAGTAACACACAGGCAGCTGAAGAAAAAGATCTGTCTTAAAACAAAGAACTTGTATCCTGGTAGTAGAAGTATTTGTAGATGTAAACACTAATCTCAATGAAATATTCAGAGTATTTTCTGTGTCTGAATTTAAAACCTCTATTGTTCTGGACCTAGCATACTTAAGGGCATTAAGTTCTCTCACCTTTGAGACAGGTTGTTAAGGTCCTCCTATCTAGCCCTGTATTATATGATGAAGTCTGATAGTTTGGAGGAGGGTCATTTGGGTGATGGCTCTACTTTTATAGACTTTTCTGCTATTAAAAAAACCCTGTTTTGGTGGAAGATTGGTTACACAATGATTTAAAGTGGAGTTTATACTGCTATCTTTAAAAACTTTGTTTTAATCATACTTAGGTTGTCTTAATGGTGATCTTAGTGAAAGCCCGTCTGAACGGCAGGTTATAGGGCATCAGGTAAATACATAGCAGTTTGCAGAGTTTGTTGTTGTTGTTCAGTCACAAAGTTGTGCTTCGCGACCCCATGGACAACTTTCCTCCAGGTCTTCCTGTCCTCTACCATCCCCTGGAGGACATCCAAGCCCACATCCACCTCTCCAGTGACCCAATCCAGCCACCCTCAACCTTTGCTGTCCCCTTTTCCTTTTGCCAATTTGCAGTTACATCATCCTAAACATGACAGCATAAAGAACATATCAACAAGCGCTAGACGACTTATTGTCTCACAACACAGGATTTCAGCGTTAGACCACACATTTTTTCAACTGTAAATGACAGCTAAGAGTCAATTGTTAGAGGCCAAGTAATAACAACATTTGCATCTGCCAGTTTAATATGAACAGAAGTATAATGGAAAACCTGATTTCTGAGTGATACTCAACATTCAAACCCTCATGAAAAAGACATTGCAATGCAGGCCCATGTTGCCCAGCATTTCATTGTTGCTACTCAAAAGTCCTTGACAATTTGATGTTGTAGTGAAATCAGTTAGAATGATGATTTATCATTTTCTCCCTTCAAATAAATCAGTAAACAATGTTTCTAGCACAGAAGAGCTGAATGCAGGGATAACTGTGGAGGACTTCAATTGTTTCAGGAAAGATGTACCTATAAAGCCCTAAACAGCTTGGGTCCTGGCTACCTGAAGGACCGCTTACGTCCATATACGCCCGCCCGCCCCTTGAGATCTGCGGGAGAGGCCCTTCTCCGGGAACCCTCCGTGAAAGAAATTAGGAGAGTGGGTACTTGGAGGAGGGCTTTCTCTGCGGTGGCGCCCAATCTATGGAATGCGCTCCCCAGAGAGGTCCGCCTGGCACCATCGTTATTTGTTTTTCGGTGCCAGGTGAAGATCTTTTTATTCAAACGTCATTTTAACTGTTAATACTATTCATTTATTTTATTCTTCGGCCAGGGCGACTTATTTTATATTGTTAACTTGTTTTATATTTTTATTGTATAATGTTTTAATTGATATGTTTGTGAGCCGCCCCGAGGCTTCGGCAAATGGGGTGGCATAGAAATTTTCTAAATAAATAAATAAATGTACACAGTTGACTGAATGACAGGGAGTAAACTGGAAAACCAAACTATCTAAAACCCAGCCTGTAGCCAAGCCTAAGCATGTGCAACTGAAACAACTTGCCTTAATTTCCTTGCTTTCCTGTGCTGAATTTTAGATTGCAAGACACTCACGGCAGAGACCTATCCTTTAACTGATGGCGCTATATGAATCAACGAAGTCTCACTGCTGTAAGGTATCAATTATAATTCCACTGCCAGTTTCCCATTTGGAAAAAATTGCCCAAGGGAAACTCGAGAAATGGAAGGAAATGAAATCTGTAGAAAGTCATACTTGAATCCACATTATAAGCTGTGGGGGATAATGAGACAGAGGGAGGGAGAAGGGTTCTCTGGGTTGCAACTTGGCAATCCCAGTTGTATTCCATTGCATCATCTTTCCTGGAATCCTGATCCTAAACATTTTTGCCATTGTTTCCAGCTACAATGCCTGGATAGTAGTATTACACCAGCTCAACAGCTCTTATGCTTCACCTTTAGTAAAACTTGGCTTTTTTCCTGCTTGCAGCAAGTTTTAACAGTCCTAAAACAATGCACTAAAAAGCAGTTTACCTGCTACTCAAATAGTGGATACTGGTCTGTGTAAACATTTAGCTATTCCTACATAGGAATATTAACTCCTGATATAGGTTTCAATATCTAATTCCATTATCCTTCATATTCATTCAAGCTTACTTCATGTGAAACAAAGCACACTTTTCAAAATTTGTTAGACATGAAAATTAAACGTTCATCCTAGCAATGCAAATCTGCATAAGCATTACTGTTAGATGCATGCTTTGTTCAGAATTCACTGGCTAGAGTAATAAAACATGACAACCCATGCTCAAGCTTGAGCATAGGTTGCCACTGAATTGTGGGGTCTTGTGTGAATGCAGTTGTACTACCAAATAATGGTTTGCTGTGCTACCAAGCAATGGTTTGTTAACCAGGAACAATCCATGCAAACTGTCCATGGTTTGTTCTTGGGTTGTGAACTGTCAGTTGCCTGGATTCAAACAATACACCTAACTCAAGACACAACTCAACTTTAAATATAAGTTGTTGTACTGTGTGAACCTAGTCATTCCAGCTAAAATTTGTAAACTGCCCAGAGAACTTCAACTAGAGGGTGGTATAGAAATAAATAAGAAACAGCACTACCACCATCATTAATGGAATGGATCTTTGTTGTTCTTTCTGGCATTAAACACAATCTAACCAAAGCTTTCCAAAGAAAACATGAAATATATGCAGACTGCAAAAGAAGGCAGCTGGACAGGTTGCATAATCTTCTTCCTTGAAGGGTTTAGGAGAGAACTAAGAAAACCGTTGTTAAATGCGTGCTATCTTGTCTTAAAATAAAAAGCTCGATGTGTAGAATGTCATTCCTGAGTTTCTGCCAGCTTGCTTCTATGCAAATCTGCTTAAAAGGAGGTCAATACATTCAGTGTAATTACTCCTAAGTAAGAAGAACAGATTTACAGCATTAGAGAGGAGATAGGAAGAACACTCCAGGTACTTAGCTTTCATGTGCTATTCAGGCAAGTTTGAGGTGCAGTGGATATGCAATTGGTGGATCTTTTGGTCACTATTTATATTTTAAACAGGACCTTATTTTGAACAAATGAAACACTAGTAGGTTCAGCAACATCTATAAGAAAGTTGAATCTCAATGTGGTGTAATAAACATTATGTAAAAATTTATCACTATACAGAATTAATAACTTTTCAGGAAAAAATTCTGAGATCTTTCCAACAAATGGTTTTATTTTTGGATAATTTAAAATTGCAGTATTTTAAAAAGCAGTAATATCTGCTTCTCCCACTGACCCGACACCATGCAAGCTTACACGTGGTCAAGGGGCACTGCAACCTATTTTCCTCTAGTATAAATAGCAATAGAGACCATGTCAAAATTTACACCCTAGGTATCTTATTTGCGCCTTTGGTTGACAAGTAAGCTAAGACATAAAAGAGAAAAACATTCAGCAACTATTAATGCTGCAGTGTAATTCGAAGAGTTTTCCCTCTGCATCTTGACTTGCACAGGAAAAAAAAATGGCTGAGATGGAGAATAACCTGAGCAGGTGGACTATGGTGAAAGTCAAATGGTACATACTTGAAAGATGTACTGGCAAGTGCTGGTATACTTTCTGGCACACATGGTAAGCTAAAGCAAAATGGGGGAACAAATTGTGTTTGGAAGGGGCATAGTGGCATCTCTGCTGCAGGGAGATGGTGTCAAGGAGGACTGAAAATATGCTCCTCAGGGCAGAGACCTGACTTCTACTACTTTGAAAGTAACATTTACCAAGGCATAAATAAATGTATGTACATAATGCATACATGTATAGGAAAGAAAGATATAAGGAAAGCATCTTCTTTAAGCCCCCATCTTCAGAATAGTTGCCAAATCCTGGTTCCATAGACTGGCACATCATCACCATTATTTTTCATTACTTTTATACCCTGTCTTTCTTCCTCTTGCAAGGAACCCAGCACAGCTTACAGTGCACTCTTCCTCTTCATTGTATCCCTGCAACAACAACCCTGACTGGCCCAAACACACCCAGTAAGCTACATGGCCAAATGAAAAATAGAATCTGACTCTCCTCAGTCCCAGACCAATCCTTTCACAAATAAGCTGGAAATGGCCTAAGATAAAATTAAAGGGGAATGGAAATACAGCAGATGCTTGGAATGCAGGGGTCTTACTTTCCATTTTCAGAATCATTAGGTAGGAGCTAAGAAAGACCCCTGTCCAAAACTGTATGCTACTGCTATTCAGTACAGAACAGCCAGTTTCAACTGTTGCCTGCCATATTTTTTTTTACTACATCTCTCAGTATTTCTAAATGGTGGCCATGTTATCTGGCAATGATGGAAGGCGCCAGATGGAATTTGCAGAGCATCATTCTGGGGTAGATAATACTTGAACTGGATGAACCAACAATTTGACTCTGTGTAAATCAACTTTCTATAAGGTGTAAATCCCAATATTAAGAGTTAAGACCTGCAGACTGGTGACAGAAAGTGAACCCACTCCACACTTTACAGGACTAGTTGACCTCCATGGCACAGGAGGCTACGAGGAGCAGTAGGGCAAGATGGTACATCAACTGAAAGGCCTACTGCAGCATTATACACTGTTTTGGCCCACCATTCCTATTTTCCCTAGTCAGCAAAGCCAATGATGAGAGATGGAAACAGTAAGCCAACATGTCTGGAAGGCCAACAAATTGCCCACCTTCAACAAAGAACCATCACGGCACATTACAGCACTTTACAGAGGAACACAAAAGCTCTGGAAGGAAGACTGTACCCCAAGAAATTATCTAAATTTTGCCCAGATCAGGCATAATAAAGCAAAGAGACGAAGTCGAAAGCCTTTGAATATCCTTATATGCAGATGCTATTATAGCAAATTCATTTCAGTTAGAGGAGGCCATGATGCTAACATCTGGCACTCTCTGTACTAGCACGCATGCCAGAAAAGGCGATGTGTTATTGCAGGTGGGTAGGAAGAGGAGAGCAAGGTGCCTCCCTGCCGCAAATCAAAGCCCACCGTTGATATCACAAAAGGGGAGGGAGCGCCTTCCTCTTCATCCCCCTCCGCCTCCACGGGAAATGTCATCGCGGAGAAGACAGAACAAGACAGGGGGCCCTCATTCTGCCGCGGACTGGCTGGCTTCCCACCCTTCCTCGCCCACGTTAAATCCTGGGCCCGGCCGGCAATCCGGTACCTGCTGATTTTACATTTCTTGAGGCCCGACTCGTCCCCCGCCTGCCCCGAAGTTTTGCGTTTCTTTTTCACGGGCATCTCCTCCCCGATTCACCGAAGGGCGTGCAGCGGGGGAGGTGAGGGCCGCCGGGCCCTCTCTCTCGGGTTCGGCGAGGGCCCGCCGCCGCTTGCGAAGAAGCCTCTTCCTCTTCCTTCTTCTGCGGCTGCTGCGGCGGCGGCGAAGAAGTTGCTACCGCGGCAGCCGCCGTCGCTCCGCTTCCTCGCCGTCTCCGGCCCCTTCTTTCCCCGCGGCGTCCACCGCGCCTGGCGGGACGAGCTCGGAAAGGCTGCTCGTGAGGAGAGCTGTTTCGAGGCTGAGGAGGAGGAGGAGGAGGAGGAGGCGGCGGCGCCGGCAAGGAACAGACGCCGAGGAGACGCGGACGAGCGCGCCGCGCCGCCCTGACGCAGGGAGGCGGGAACAGGAAGTGACAGTGGCGCGCCTCGGCCGCGCTCGACCACTCGCCCGTCTCCTCCCGGGCGGAGCTAACAGACAGGGGTGGGGCGAACGCGCTGGCCACGCCCTTCTCGCGCTGTGCGGGGTGCAGTCATGACGTAGTCAGGAGCGATGGCGGACGGAGCCGGGCCTTGTGAGCCTATAATGAAAGCCCTTTCCGTGAGCGCGTTGCCGTGAGGTCAGCCCCGCTCAATGGAGCCTTGCTGGCTTGCGGTGGCCGTCAGTGGGCTCCGACAGCCGGGGCAGTGTGGTACAGAGTACCAGGTCAGTGCCCTGGGAGAGCCGGGTCCTTAGACCCCACTCTGCCATGCACCACACTGAGCCCGTCGCTCATGCTCAGCCTAACCTACCTCACAGGACTGTTGTTATGAGGATAAAACGGAGTGGTGGACTCTGTAACCTGCTTTGGTTTCCTCGCAGGAGGAAAAAAGGCGGGATATAATGCAATACAACAATAATAATCATCCCTAGCCTGCAGAGCCAATGGTGAGGGATTATGGGAGGTGTAGGAGAAAAATCTCGGGAGCTGGAAGTTGAGCACCCATAAGGACTTCTTCAGTTTTATTTATTTAAGCTTTTATATACCATCCTTCACTTTCAGGACAGTAGTACAGTGAAATAAAAGTACAGCATCAGAGGACAAATTCAAATAAACCCCCATCTTAAAACACATTAACACTTAAAATATCAGGAAAATTAAAAGGTTTTGGCCTGCTGCCAAAATAAAAAGTGTTGGAGCCAGGCACCCCTCTCTTGGGGAGCATGTTCTGTAGCCAGGGTGCCACCACAGATAATGCCCTCCAGGTAGCCGCTCTTCTGATCCCCTTAGAAGAGGGCTCTCAAGTATCTCCAACCCATATTTTTTTTACCAGGCTTACACTCAGCTGTTTGCTGTGGTATACAACAACTTGTGAGAATGGGTTCAATGGCCCAATGCTTCAGGAAAAAAGTTCTGGCAAATCAATCAAATTTATAGTTTCATGTGGATTCGGGGTGACTAGCAATGTTTAAAGACAGCTACAATTGCAAGGTCTTATAAAGGTAACAACCTTGTTTACAAAACTCCAATGCATATGTAAAAGGATATGGACAGAAATGCTGTGTATACAAATAACTATCAAATTCTTACTGTGAAAGCTTAGCATAATGTTAACAGGTGGCTTCCAAATAAATCTAAAACATAAACTGTGAGGTATTGAAGGAACATTTCTTTGCAATGCAGGATCCACAGGGGAATGGTGGATTGCCCACCATTTCCAAAGCATCCAACTCGTCCGTGTTTTCTCCCTTAACAGGATTTTTCTCCTAATAGTGTTTCCAACCAAGGTCTTATCCTGCTGTTATCCAGCCTCATTCACAGAATTTTACAGAGAGTCCAGACAATATTGTCTTCTTATAATCCTGTTTTTCCCATTCTTCCAATTGTTTTTCTTACCGGAGAAGATCCAAAAGAGTAGTTGAGCAACACTTTCTAATTGGTGGCACTTAAGATCCCTTCATCTGGTGATGCTTTTGGATTAGACTTTTATTATGCTATGGACAATACTTTTATTATGTTTTTCCTTAGAGTTGTACAGGAGATTCCGACGTTCACATCCACTTGCAATCTGACCATATTTTCTCATTGGAAAACTCTTTAAAGGTGTTATCCTATGCATGTTTAAACAGAAGCCATACCGATCCCAGTATTCCCCTCGCAGCCTCAAATTGCATAAGACTGTATCTTTGAAATATGAAATGGTATTTATTGTATTCTTATTACATTTTCAAACTAAACATGATTGGGGAAATACCAAAAATTAAGGAAGAAAAAAGCTGGTGAGAAAATACAAATGGATGATGATGAGGACGATTATACAATTTCACGAGTAAGACTGTGCGCAATAAAAGCCTTGTCTGGAAACATGGAATAGTTATTTCGTGACGCCTCCTGCGTTTCCACGATAGCAAAAGAAAGACTGATCACAGCATTCACTCTAAGTTCTGCACCCATCGCGCCGCTCAAAGAGCCGCAGAACAGGGGCGTCTGGCGATTACCTATCTCACTGATCGAGAAGGTCTGAAGACCCCCGGAAAACGGCCTTCGACTACTCTCTCTAGGGGCGCGCGCCGGCTCGCTCGCTGGAACGAACCTCGAGTGTGGAGTGGCGTCCGCCATTTCCCGTCGCCATAGTAACCGGGCCTAGCAACGCGCGGACGCCGGGCAGCCTCGAAGAAGAAATCGGGGAGAAACTCTTCCCTTCCTTGTCTTTCTCTGGGCCGGTGTAGTACTTCATCCCGTGCCGTGCTCCGATGAACAGGCGTCTGTCAGGTATATTTTATTGCTTTAACTCCCCTCTCTCTAACTTTCTCTTTCCTTCCCGGGCGGTTCATGCATATTTCCCGTTCGCCGATCCAGAGGGGATTTTGACTCTGTACCGTGGCTGCTCTTTTCCTCGTCATTCCGCTCGCTGCGTTGAGGACTCGCTCTGCTTTTTCCAGCGTTTGCTATGGGACGTCGTCCACGTTTCTGATAGATCCGTTTCTGGAAAGGGTTCCCTTCTTTCGTTGCCCCAGTTTGAGCTGCACTGTTTGTCATGCCTCGGGATGGGGATGGAGATGGAGATAAGAGGAAGATCTTCATTTCAACCACGGTCGCAAACTACTTCGGGTTGTCCTCGTCCTCGAGCCTCGCTCCACTCTCGACCAGCCCCGAACTGACGAACTTTTTGGATGATGGCAACGAGTTTCTCCTCTGTGTGCAGCACTCGCAAGAAGAGGTCCTTGTCTCCAATAAGGTAATGTCAGTCCCAAAATGGCCAGCAGCTGAAAAATGTAAATAGATTTCTGAGCAATCACGGTTTACTTTTGGACACAATGGGGACATGCTTCCACAAGTTAACTTGCTTTTTAGAAAATGTTTATTGTTTCAACCATTATGGTTACAGTAACCAAAATGCACGTGCACAAAGTCTTATAAAAGGACACAAAGAGTCTCTGAAGATGAAGAACTGAATGGCCCTTAGAAAACATGCAGGATACTGCTGAACTCTTAACCAAAACTAAAAGTTTATATGTCTAGGTTAAAAATTTAATGAAAAATTAAGAAATAATACTTAATAATAATCCTTAATAATACACTTAAGGAGCAATCTGTTGCAGATTTAGGGATACAAAAAACCTGCATCTCCCAGCATTCCCCAGCTTCTTCTGTGCAGTTTCAGTAAATTTCTGCAATGTAGTGTGGCAGGACTAATTAGCTCGCATTCACAAAAGAAAATTCAGCTGTCTTTTGCAAAGGTTGTTGTCATGCCAGGATAAAACATTGTAGTTGGGTCTTGTTAGTATAAGTGGGGGGATTGTTTGTCCAAGGATTCATTGTATAGGATAAGCAGCATAAAACAGCAGACCACTTTCCGTGCTTTCTGTCTTGGTGATTTGAGATAATCCTTATATCTGGCTTCTATATAGCCTGAAATGCCTGATCCTGCCTAGTCTTGGAAGCTAAGTATTTATTTTATTTATTTGTTAAAACATTTCTGTGCCGCCCCTTGCCGAAGCCTCAGGGCGGCTTACAACATCTAATAAAATACACAATAAATTAAAACAATAACAATTAAAATATATGTAATAGAATAAAATAAGCCGCCCTGGCCAAATAAAATTCAATAATATTAACATTTAAAATGCTGCTTAAATAAAAAGGTCTTCGCCTGGCGCCAAAAAACAGTAGGGGTTGGGCCTGGTTGAGATCTGAATGTTTGGTGACCTAATGTTGTGAACTAGCCAGATAATGTTGGCTATGAGCGATATGGAAATGTAATGAGTAGTAACAGTAATAATAATAATAATAATAATAATAGGATAGGACTTATAACAATCAAATCAAATCCTCATAATTCGTCATACTGGCCACAACAGAGCAAACATACATTGGCTTATATTTGCTAAGCTTCAAGTCTGTCCTCTCTGAAGTACTCTCAGGGTTGGAAGGAAGAGTGCTATTTTCTGGCATACTTGGTAGCTTTGCTAATCCAGTCTGCTCACAAATCTGAGATGCCCAGATATTCCTTTTCTGTGATCTAGTATGTCTGTAACAAATGTGACCTTTTGTTTCTGTCAAGGCTCCCATGCATTTTACAAGGCACCTGACACCTCCTAGCAAGTAGAAATCTGCTGGATGATGTTTTATCTCCTCCTCTGATTTTGTTTATGTTAGGAAAGCTTCATCTTTCTGCTTATTGTACAGCTGTGCACATGACCTTTGCTAGGAATAAAGTGTCAAGCTTCTATTAAATTCACTGTGATAAATAAGTATTTACTTTACCATTAATATATTTGTATTACTTGATCAAACAGGTTGAAGCTGGCAATTCAGAAGACAAAATGTTGGTATTCTTCAAGCTACGACCAGATATTATCACAGAAGATAACCTTCACAGCAACATTCTTGTATCATCTATGTTAGATTCTCCTGTCAATATGCTTTACCAAGCAGTACGACAGGTATTTGCACCAGCATTATTGAAAGTGAGTATGCAATATCTAGGTTATTTCTATACATGTGCAGATCCCCCTGCCCCCAAGTTTGACTGCTTTTAATATTTCACATCAGAGTTACAATATGACATTTGAAGTAATAGTTCTTTTCCAGGGCTTTTTCTTTTCTTAAATTGAGTTATAAGGCTCCCAGTTGATCCACATTAATTCAAAGTAAGCCTATTTTCCCAACCAGTACTATCTGGTAATTAGGTTTCCTGAAATTAATGGAACTTATTTCCATGTTTTTAAACAATAATTGTGAATGGCACTTCATAGAGGATAGGTTTATAAAGAGGCAAAGTCCTTGCCCCAAGAAATTTATAATCTAAAATTCAACACAGAAAATTCCAAGGGGAAGGGAGGGAAGTACTATGAGATTGTTCCAGTTACATGTACAGAGAGAGCAAACTGTGATC